CACACAGATGGATGTGATTGGACAATGAATGAGAAGCAGCACACAGAAGGATGTAATTGGACAATGAATGAAAAGCAGCACACAGATGGATGTGACTGGACAATGAAAGAGAAGCAGCACACAGATGGATGTGATTGGACAATGAATGAGAAGCAGCACACAGATGGATGTGACTGGACAATGAAATGAGAAGCAGCACACAGATGGATGTGATCGACAATGAATGAGAAGCAGCACACAGATGGATGTGATTGGACAATGAAGGAGAAGCAGCACACAGATGGATGTGATTGGGCAATGAATGAGAAGCAGCACACAGATGGATGTGATTATACAATGAAAGAGAAGCAGCACACAGAAGGATGTGATTGGACAATGAAAGAGAAGCAGCACACAGATGGATAATAGTATAAGGTGCAGAGCTGCAACTTGTTTTCCTGATAAAAGTACTTTATTTATTTATTAAGGGTACAGTGTGCCAGTTACAGCAACCTACGCGGTTTGGTAAAAAAACCTTATTCATAGCCACAGGTGGATGTGATTGGACAATGAAAGAGCAGCAGCACACTGATGGATGTGATTGAACAATGAAAGATCAGCAGCATACAGATGGATGTGACTGGACATTGAAAAGAGCAAGCAGCACACAGATGGATGTGATTGGACAATGAATGAGAGCAGCAGCACACAGATGGATGTGATTGAATATTGAAAGAGCAGCAGCACACAGATGGATGTGATTGGACAATAAAGGAAAAGCTGCACACAGATGGATGTGATTGGAATGATTGAATGAAGCAGCACACAGATGGATGTGATTGGACAATGTGTGATTGAGAGAGCAGCAGCACACAGATGGATGTGATTGGACAATTAATGAGAAGCAGCACACAGATGGATGTGATTGGACAATTAAAGAAAGCAGCACACAGATGGATGCGATTGGACAATGAATGAAAAGCAGCACACAGATGTATGTGATTGGACAATGAATGAAAAGCAGCACACAGATGTATGTGATTGGACAATGAATGAAAAGCAGCAAATTAATATGTGCAAACTGGACAATATAAGAGAAGCCTGTAAGGCCTGCGGGTGGATCAGATCCTTGACTTACGGTGCCACTTCACTGGATGGCCTGGGGGTGAGGGAGGGGGAGACAGAGGGCCTAAAAAAAATGAAGGCGACGTCACAGAACATGTGACCAGCTCCAGGTTAGCTCTGCCCCCCCCACCCAGGGCATACATACATAGAAGGGGAGCATGCAAACCGTGGTGGCAACGCTGCAGAGGATCCATGAGCCCACAGATTATTGCCACCACCAACTGTGGATGACTGACAGGCTGAACAAACCATTTATTTCTAAGGAAAGATTTTAGACCTAAACAAAGGGCACACAAACAATTATTATTAGGAAGGGTTTAATTTTTTGGGATTAAGTGGTATATTCTTGCATCCATTTTTTTTTTTCCTTCTTACAGTGAAAGCAGCGGTCTCTCTGCAGAGGTCTGACACACCCTCTGTAATCAGCAAAGCTTGTGCTCTTTGCTAATAGGAGAACTTTGGCTTTGTGTCAGCAGCAGAGGGTGTATAGACCTCTGCAGAGAGAACACTGATGAGATCTAAGAAGGAAAAAAAAAAAACAGTAACCGCATGAGCTTTACTGATAGGAGAGCTCTGGTTTTGTTTCAGCAGGGGGAGTATATACCTCTGTAGAGAGACCTATGTTTTCACTGCAAGAAGGAAAAAAAGTAAAGAGCATGAGCTTCGCTGATGCGAAAGCTCTGGTTTTGTCTTGGCAGAGGGCGTGTCACACCTCTGCAGAGAGACCACTGCTTACACTGGAAGGGGGGGGGGGGGGGGGGGGGGGGGGGGAAGTAAGGAGCATGAGCATTGTTGAGAGGAAAGCTCTAGTTTTGTCTCAGCAGAGGGCATATAGACCTCTGCAGAGAGACTACTGCTTCCACTGTAACAAAGAGAAAAAAAAAAGTAAAGTAAGAGCATTGTTGGTAGGAGAGCTCTGGTTTGTCTCAGCACAGGACGTATAGACTTCTGCAGAGAGACCACTGCTTCCACTGTAAGAACGAAAAAAAAAAAAAAAAGGAAAGAGCATGAGCTTTGCTGATACAACAGCTCTGGTTTTGTCTCGGCAGAGTGTGTCAGACCTCTGCAAAGAGACCACTGCTTACACTGTAAGAAGGAAAAAAAAATTAAAGAGCATGAGAATTGTTGATAGGAGAGCTCTAGTTTTGTCTCGGCAGAAGGCGTATAGACCTCTGTAGAGAGACCGCTGTTTCTACTGTAAAAGAAAAAAGCACACAAGGAATGAGCATGAGCCTTGCTGATACGACAGCTGTGGTTTTGTCTCGGTAGAGGGCGTGTCAGACCTCTGCAGAGAGACCACTGCTTCTTCATAGATGTATGCAATGCTGGACACAATAACCAAAAGCAAGTCATTTACACACAATACACAGGTACGTTTAACCAGCACTTACACCATTATTCTAAGCATGTGAAAGACCCTCTACTGAATGAACATCTGCCCTGGCACATCATAGTATTCACTCGGCACTCCAAGAAATAACAGAATCCAACTGCAATATTCTTGAACTGTCAAAACCTCCACTATTATTATCACACGACACACAGGAGGATATATCTTATAGTCATCACAATCTGCATAATAACACACACCAATAATAATGTGAGCATTACAGCATGAAATAGACACATCATCTGACAGCGTCACAGCAGAGAATTAATAAATTACCAAAGCTATGGGAAGATGGGAAGGAACACACCCCATTGGAACCATAATGCACAGGGGGTTGCAGAGAAGCCGTAAATGCAACCAATCGATGAGCCCATATCAGGGGCGGACTGACCATTTGGAAACTCTGGCACTGCCTGAGGGCCCGGGGTCAGTAGGGGGGCCCCATGAGATGCCCCTGGTACCTTTTTCATAGGCTTTTTTGAGTTTGGGAAAGGACACAGGGGCCCCTTGATCTCCTATTGCCCGGGGGCCCCATGAGTTGTCAGTCTGCCCCTGGCCCATATAGACTTGGTAAGAGTCCCCAGTGTCAGAGCGTCCCCTTTAGCATAGGAAGGCCCCTCCTCGACCATATTCAGGCTCCTCGTTTTAAGCCCTGTTTCTGGCAACTTTCCCGAATTGGTCAGGCACCACGCCCACTCCAAGAGGAGTTAGCAGAAAGATTCCTTGAGGATAACAGAGTCACACCCAGCCACTACACTGAACAAACAACGGTATCTCGTAATATCACTTTTGCTTCAAATCAGCTTATCTACCCTAAACTTAAAGATTTCTAACTTCTCAAACAAGTAGACATCTTTAAATGCACAAATATGTTTCTTATTATCTATTTATTTCAGGTACTTATATAGCACCATCAATTTATGCAGCACTTTACATATATATTGTACATTCACATCAGTCCAAACCCTCAAGGGGTGTACAATCTAAGGTCCCTAACTCACATTCATACATACACATACTAGGGCCAATTTAGACAGGATCCAATTAACCTACCAGCATGTCTTTGGAGTGTGGGAGGAAACCTGAGTACCCGGAGGAAAACCACGCAAGCACAGGGAGAACACGCAAACTCCAGGCAGGTGGTGACATGGTTGGGATTTGAACCAAGGACCCTAGTACTGCCAGGCGGAAGTGCTAACCATTTAGTCACTGTGCTGCCCATCCCACTAACACTTATCTACTTTCACCCCCTTCCTGTCCAGGCCAATGTCCAGCTTTCAGCGCTATCACACTTTGAATGACAATTGCGCGGTCATGCAACACTGTACCTATATGAATTTTTTAGCATTTTTTTGAGACAGATAAAACTTTATTTTGGTGGTATTTATTCACCACTTGGGATTTTTTTATTTTTTTGCTAATAAATGAAAAAAAGTCCAAACATTTTGAAAAAAAGTGTTTTTCTTATAAAATTTTGCAAATAAATAATATTTCATCATAAATCTTGGCCAAAATGTATTCAGTTATCTTTTTAGTAAAAAAAAAAAATGACCCAAATTAGTTTATAACCAAAAATTATATTTTTTCAAAATGTTTTTTTTACATTAATTTTATTGTTTAATTTTTTTTAACATACCATCACCCTAGCAAGTACAGTGTCACCATAGTGACACTGTACTACTTGTGGGGAATGATGATTTTTTTTTTTTTTTACACCGATTGCTTTCACAATAAAGGCTGTAAAAGCAATCATTTTCTCTTTCTCTCTGGCTGCTTTCTTGCAGCCATTGAAAAATACCATTGAGAGCTGTGACTGGTCAGCTTGTCACATGGTACAAGGGCTGTTGTGAATAGCCTTGTACCATGTGATCTCTGTGATCATTCACGGGGGGGGGGGGGGGGGGTGGATTTCACATGTAGTAAGCAATGATGTCAGAAGTGACATCTTGCTTATACTCTTCATGTGATCACTGATTTTGGCCAATCAGTGAATCACATGATCGGGACTCACACAGAGAGTCCCGTACAACGATCGGTGTTCTTACGGACACAGCGGGCACCGGAATTGCGAGTGCTGCGCTCCCAGGGGAGCGCGGCACAAGTACGGGAGCGGGCAGGTTACGAGTTTATAAATGGACACCCGACCCTGCACTGCCACCGTCCGGCCGTTTATGTTTACATGGGAGGATGGGAAAGGGGTTAAGCAGTCTAATGTCTTGTGACTCTGTTCCTTTAGCCTAGAGATATGACATCCAATGTAATTTTCTCGTGCTTCTGGCATCTGAGCAATGATGCTTTTATTGTAAAAATTTCCCCAGAAAACAAAGGGTCCAAGACCAACACATTTCATAGGCATTAAATAGAGCACAATAGTCCCACCTTGCAGATGCATTGCTGCCAGGGGACAGGCCCTTGAGGTTTTTGATCAAACCTGATGGATGTTTGTCTGCAGTAGGGGCATTAGAGTGTAAGCTCCTCTGCCGCAGAGACTTATTGGGGTCCATACCTGTACTGGAACTTGTCCATGGCGCTGGACATGTGTTTGGGGGTAGTTGGTGTCACAGATGTACAGGTTGTAGTCATTCTCCTGGCACCAGGTCCACGTGTGATGTCGTGCAGGATCAGGCTAGTCCCAGTCGTCGTAGCGTAGGGCTTCCCGGACGCGATGTTCAGAAGCTCTCGCCCGATTAAACGTGGCGTTCCCGGCCTGGCAGATAGTTAAAGGCAGCGCTTAGCGAGTAAAATGGAAGAAATCTGTCTTCTGCAGTAATAACAGCCGTGAACTATTTTCACGGATCATTACAAGCCGCGGCAGCAAAACGCCGCGCGCAGGGAAAAAAAGAGACCCAGACCGAAACTTTATTACTCTTACTGGGATTCGTCACAGGGAACACAGAATATAAAAAAGCGTTTATTATCTTTTAAAATGGGCAGTTAAAGCTACCGTGCCATTTTTAAGTGAACTTTTTTTTTTTGTTATGCATGCAAGGATTTTGGGCAAATTCACTGCAGATTCTTACTGCATCTGTCCTGCTGATACCGGCAAGGTCATTTCACTAACTGCCTTGCCAAAGGATGAAAGTCTCACTGCAGCGGCCCTAAGGTAAAGGTGGAGGGTTGCTGACAACCATATCACAGTGGTACCCTGTACAAAATCTATTAGTAATACCTCATCTGGAATATGCAGTTTAATTTTGGGCACCAATTCACAAAAAGAACATTGGGGAACTGGAGAAAAGTACAGAGTAAGGGCAAACCAAACTGATTAAGAGGCATAGGAGGAGATCAGCTTATGAAGAAATATTAGAGGAACTGAATTTATTCTCTCTTGAGAAGAGGAGATTAAGGGGGGATTATGATCACCATGTATTATAATACATAAGGGGGGGATTTGATCTCCATGTATAATACATAATGGGGGGTTATGATCGCTATGTTATAATACATAAGGGGGGATATGTCACCATTAATTACATAAGGGGATATGATCTCCATGTATAAATACATAAGTTGGGGGATATGATCGACCATGTATAATTACATATAAGGGGGGGATTTGATCTACCATGTATAATACATAAGGGGGGATATGATCTCCATGTATGAATACATATAAGGAGGGATATGATCTCCATGTATAATACATAGGGGGGGATTTATGAGTGCTCCATGTATTATACATAAGGGGGGATATGAGCTCCATGTATAATACATAAGGGGGATATGATCACCATGTATAATACTCAAAGGGGGGATATGATCCACTATGTATAATACATAAGGGGGGATATGATCTCCATGTATAATACATAAGGGGGGATATGATCTCCATGATATAAATACTTAATGTGGTTAATGATCTCCCATTGGATAATTAATAAGGGGGATATGATCTCCATGTATAATACATAAGGGGATATGATCTCCATGTTATAATACATAAGGGGGGAGGGGATATGGGGATCACCATGTACAATACATAAGGGGGGGAATTTGATCTCCATGTAACAATACATTAGGGGGATATGAGTCACCATGTAGAAATACTTAAGGGGGGGATATGATGGTCACACATGTAGAATACATTAAGGGGGGATATGATCTACATGTATCATTAAGTAAGGGGGGATATGGCCTCTCCATGTATAATACGGAAGGGGGATAGGATCTCATGTATAATACATAAGCGGGGATATGATCTCCATGTATAATACATAAGGGGGATATGTCACCCTGTATAATATAAGGGGGATTGATCTCCCTGTTAAAAGTAAGGGGGGAAAGATTCCTGTATAATACGTAAGGGGGGTATGATCCCCAGTTAATAATAAGGGGGGGTATGATCTCCATGTATTTAAAAATAAAGGGGGGATATGTCCCATGTATAATACTTTGGGGGATATGATTCCATGTATAAAACATAAGGAGGGTATGATCTCTGTATAATAATAAGGGGGGTTGATCTCCATGTATAATCATAAGGAGGGGATATGATTCCCTGTTAAACATAAGGGGGGGGGATGATCTCCTGTTAAAACATAAGGGGGGTATGTTTTCCATGTATAA